TCCACGTCATCATCTATGACATGTTTTAGCGTCAAGCTTTAGTTAGGTTCAGGAAAAGACCAGGCTTAGCTTGAGTCTTCCTTCATCACACTACATAAAAGGCTCCTTGTCCTCGTGCCATTTTACTTTCAATTTCGACTCTGCAAATCCAATTGAAATCGATAATTTTCTTCAGAAGAGAAAGAGAGAAGAAGAGTGACCGTGAGAGACAGCAATGGCTGGCTTGGCAAGCCGTTCTCTGATTGTTCTTGCCATTATATCCTTAGGTATTTTTCGTGACCTAATTATAGATCTGATTGTTTTATTTTATTTTTTTAGCTTTTCAGTTCTTTTTTGTTTCAATGCGGAAGTGAAAGCAATGCAATCAGATCTCGCTTTGTTTACATATTTTTGGATTTGTTTTGCATGATTTGCTGTGTTAACTGTTACTTACCGTCAGATCAGATCAGTGAGTGTAGTGAGATCTTAGACAATAGTTGTTTGTGATTTTGTAAGTTCTTTCTTTCGATTGATTCTGAAGCTTTGCATTTAAGTGATGTTATATGTTGAGAAGTCACTGTGAGTAGTGTAATATGCCTTTATCTGCATCTGAAAGTTTAGTTAAAAGTTATTAGATATAGTTGCCATAGTGTTATTTTTTAGTTTGTTGATAAGGATTTTTATTGTTAAGCCAAGTGATTAGTAGTCTCCATGGGAACACTTTTTGTTCTGCAGCGTTGCTTACGAATTTGGTGTCTTGTGTATTTTCAAGGTGTTGGCGTTTTCGTATTTTTTTTTGTATTTTCGATTTGAATACGACAACATCATGTAGTTTCCTTCGTAGATAGTTTCCTTTGTGAATGGATTAGTTTATTTTGCTAAATTTGACTCTGTTTAACGGGCATGTTATGACAATGAGTTTCGGTGTTGTAACTAACATTGAGAAATTCCTACATAGGATGTCTATTTGCAATTTCCATTGCAAAGGAGGAAGCTACCAAGTTGGGAACGGTCATTGGGATCGATCTGGGAACGACCTATTCATGTGTTGGTGTTTATAAGAATGGCCATGTTGAAATCATAGCCAATGACCAAGGTAACCGTATCACTCCATCGTGGGTTGCCTTCACAGACAGTGAGAGACTCATCGGGGAGGCTGCCAAGAATCAGGCAGCTGTCAACCCCGAAAGGACCATCTTCGATGTTAAGAGACTTATTGGAAGAAAGTAAGACATTCTCAAGCTTTTGATTCAGGTCTATAAAATTTGATGAGAACAAAGGAATCTGACTCTTATCATTTTTCAGGTTTGAAGATAAGGAAGTTCAAAAAGACATGAAGCTCGTTCCTTACAAAATTGTCAACAAGGATGGAAAACCTTACATACAGGTAAAAATCAAGGATGGTGAGACTAAGGTGTTCAGCCCTGAGGAAATCAGTGCCATGATTCTGACTAAGATGAAGGAAACCGCGGAGGCATTCCTTGGGAAGAGAATTAATGATGCCGTGGTCACTGTCCCAGGTAATTGAAACGACTCACGATATCATTCTCGTAATATTGATTGTTTTCAGTTCATCCTGTTTTTGTTTTTATTATAATTTATGACCTTTGTTCTGTCAAATAAACAGCTTACTTCAATGATGCTCAGAGGCAGGCCACCAAGGACGCTGGTGTCATAGCTGGTCTCAATGTTGCTAGAATTATTAACGAACCCACTGCTGCTGCCATTGCTTATGGATTGGACAAGAAAGGTGGCGAGAAGAACATTCTAGTCTTTGATCTTGGAGGTGGGACATTTGATGTCAGTATCTTGACAATTGATAATGGTGTTTTTGAGGTTCTTGCAACAAATGGAGATACTCATCTTGGAGGTAATTTTGTTAACAAGTCTTGATATGATGAAATTATTATTTGGAAGAAAGATGATTGTTTCCATGAAGGTGGTTTCCTTTGATTTCCACGAAGTTTTCGTCTGATGTTATCGCCTGCTGTGTCTACTTCCCCTTACCAGGTGAGGACTTTGAACAGAGAATAATGGAGTACTTCATTAAATTGATCAAGAAGAAGCAAGGAAAGGATATTAGCAAGGACAACAGAGCACTTGGCAAGCTCAGGAGAGAGGCAGAGCGTGCGAAGAGAGCTCTCAGTAGCCAGCACCAAGTCCGCGTGGAAATTGAATCACTTTTTGATGGTGTTGACTTCTCTGAGCCACTCACCCGAGCTCGGTTTGAGGAGTTGAACAATGACTTGTTCCGGAAGACAATGGGACCAGTGAAGAAGGCTATGGAAGATGCTGGATTACAGAAGAATCAGATCGATGAGATTGTTCTCGTCGGTGGAAGCACAAGGATTCCGAAGGTTCAACAGCTTTTGAAGGAATACTTTGACGGAAAGGAGCCAAACAAGGGTGTCAACCCTGATGAAGCAGTTGCCTATGGTGCTGCAGTGCAAGGAAGCATTTTGAGCGGAGAGGGCGGTGAAGAAACCAAAGGTAACATAGTCTGTACTTGTACTTTTTCATTACTTGTCCAGAAGTCATAAAAAATTATTTATACTACAAGTAGGTTGCTTAGCATTACATTCTCTAATTTTTTTTTGGCACTGTGGATTCAGATATCCTTCTCCTGGATGTGGCTCCCCTCACCCTTGGAATTGAAACTGTTGGTGGAGTGATGACAAAGTTGATTCCCAGAAACACTGTTATCCCTACAAAGAAATCTCAGGTGTTTACCACCTACCAGGACCAGCAGACCACTGTCTCCATTCAGGTATGATTCCCTTGTTCGACTGCATTAAAGTGAACGATGCTCGGTTTTTTCTGAATCCAAAATGCATGTCTGTATAACTTACTTTAATAATTCAATTCATTTTCTTAATACATAGGTTTTCGAAGGTGAGAGGAGTCTCACAAAGGACTGCCGTCTGCTTGGGAAATTTGATCTGTCAGGAATTCCTCCAGCTCCAAGGTTAGTTTCGTGCTTTCACGATGATGGTGTGCTCTAAAGATAGTGCTTCAATTGATATCTGTAACTGACTGGTATGTTATGTGGTAATTGAAAAGGGGTACCCCTCAAATTGAAGTGACCTTTGAAGTTGACGCAAATGGCATCCTGAATGTGAAAGCAGAAGACAAAGGCACTGGAAAATCAGAGAAGATCACGATTACAAATGAAAAGGGACGTCTGAGCCAGGAGGAAATCGAGAGAATGGTCCGTGAGGCGGAGGAGTTTGCGGAGGAAGACAAAAAGGTGAAAGAGAGGATTGATGCTCGTAACAGTCTTGAAACCTACGTCTACAACATGAAAAATCAGATCAGCGACAAGGACAAGCTTGCTGACAAGTTGGAGTCAGATGAAAAGGAGAAAATAGAGAGTGCAGTGAAGGAAGCATTGGAATGGCTTGATGACAACCAGAGTGTGGAGAAAGAAGAATATGAGGAGAAGCTTAAGGAGGTGGAAGCCGTTTGCAACCCAATCATCAGTGCTGTCTATCAGAGATCAGGAGGAGCCCCAGGTGGTGATGCATCAGGCGAGGACGAGGACGACTCTCACGACGAGCTCTAGAGGTGTTTATTATGCTTTAGATGTGATGAGAAACAATAGATTAGTCGGAGTCTGTTAATTTTTATTAAAGCTGGGAATTAAGAAATTCCCCTGCGCTTGCTTTTTTGGTGGCGATGATAAGATACTTGTGAAATTACTTGTATTTTCCTTTTTTTAACTAGTTTTTACGACCAATCTTTTTCAGCTGTATCAGTATGCTTCATTTCTGTTGGGTCTTTGTGTTTGCTTTTGTTACGTTCCTCCCTCCCCGTACCTGTGTCGCGCTTTTTACAACAAAGGGTTCTAGTGCTCACACTTAGTTTTTGGTTTGAAGTAATCTTAATAATTTTAATAATTCTTAATTAACGCAGGTAATATTTTAAAAATATTATTGATGACATTTTATGGAAAATAGCGACTGTTGGTTCTTCAATTTGTCATTGAACCTTTTCCTCGAGCATGGACAAAGGGACTATAATAGAGTAGGGTCAGAAAATGAAAATATAGATTTGGTGTCTAGTACTTCTCTTCCAGCGCTTTCCAGTGATTTTTGTATGTGTACTGTAACTCTATTAATACGTCGTTGTCGATTATTTTACAAGACAATAAATAGATTTTGTCAAATATATTAATGCGTGTTTGATTCTGCCTAGAACCAAAAAGTGGATCAACCAACAGCCATGTAATGAAATTGGACGTCAGTTTTACTTGCACATCAAACTTGTTATCAGTCTATGTTCCGTGGAGTCCATAATGAGATTCAATAGTAGAAGCAAAGGATTTATAGTTATAAAATTAATCGACTAATGTTTTTGAGAGAAATGAGGGACAAATTTTACATTTTTATATACATCAAAAATTACTTCTCTAGATCTTGTTTGTGTTTGTTGTGTTTTACCACAATTTCACAATTTGTGTCCCAATATGTTACCTCTCTTTCACAGGCGACTTAGGGATTTAGAAATAAATACTTATGAGAAAACATTTATTTTAATGATAGAATTGAAGACAAAGAAACTAGAAATTAGCATCTTATAGCAATACTTACGAAAATAATAAAAAAATAACTCTTTTCTTAGGGTTTAGTCAAGAACTTATAAAATTACAAGAATGTTTGTTAAAAGTTCTTAAACATGAAATACCCAAAGTAGAATTCTTCAGCAGAGACATGTGGATAACTTAATCACATATTTCATCTTAAATTTTTTAGTATAAACAACTCGGATATTGACCTTAGACTTTATTGGGTTACATTACAGATAGAAATCACAATTTTGTTTATCAACATTGACCGCTACTTGCTATTTAGGTCGTAAAACTCTAAAAAAAAAAACTCAAAGTGCGTTTTTATTTTTATTTATTAATTGATTTATTTTTTTTGCGTTAACGACATGATGCCTTCAATTTATAAGAATGTGATCATCATCCCTTCATTTTTTTTTAATAATTACAGTTTGTTTTTTACGCCACACCACACTTAAATAAATCTTCTTCTCATTAATCATTATTTTCCTCTATTCGGTGAGGGAACATGGTTACTAATTAAAAATAATTTTACACTAACACAATAAAGCTAAATTGGAAATGTAAAATGAATTTCCCCAATCCTCCTTGTGGAAATCTATAACTTATATATTTATTTCATTAGGGGGAGGGGTTGAATATGATTAGAATCCAGCTTTAGGATTTCCAGAACCAGCTGCAGCGACTCCCATCCCACTAACACCATGTGATGTAGCTGCCATTGTGTCATTGGCTGCATAATCTTTAACATCTTTAACATCCAATTCACTCACAAGTTCATCAATTTTCCTAAATTGATATGGCCATCTTGCATTGTAGAGAAACTGGCGAAGATCAAACCTATTATCCTCTGGTGAATAACTCTGCAAGTTGATTGAAAGATTAACTTTCATTAGCCAACAAAAGATGTAAGAATAAGCCAAAATAATGGGAACACCGGAGAGCTATCCTGATTTGAAGTGATAACAACTACATACCTCAGCATGGTAGGAAGGTGTCAAGACAGTCATTTTGTGTCGATTGATAGAATAATACTTGAAGAAGTATTTTACTTTTTCAGCTACTTGTGATGGAGTCAATTTTGCACCCCATCTGTAGCATAGATTCTACCACAGTAAATTACAAAACAAGTTATGATTGGCAAGTAAAATTAGACAAAATATAAACTGCAAAATTCACTCAGACTGCTAGCTTTGGATGCCAAAACTTTATTTCACTTGAGTTCACAATAACAAGTACAGTAATTATTCTTTCTGGTTAAGGTTTTGAAAACGTGGTAGTTTAGAAATCAGTCAAGAAGGACTGAGATACATGGAATAGATTTCTTCTGGTAATTCTTTAACTTAAATATCGTGCATTGTTTTGGTTTTTCATTATTTGCCCTCCTAAAGCAAAGTAGCAAACCATGCTATGCTTTGACCTTTGGTTATAGACAGAGATTCTTTTTAATTACTACAACCACATGAAATTTGTAAAAAGGCTACCAAAGAGCTGGACTCATCAAAAGCTGATATTAACTACACTGTCCTTCGAGAGAAACAATTTCCCTGTTTGGAAGAGTCTATTAGATTATCGACTACTTCGATTTTATTCGTTTCCTGGAAGTTTTTGCAAATAAAAGTTCACATCAAAAAATCGTCTGAGTTTAGTGAAATCAGTGTTTATGTTAGGTCGTTTAAAGACAAGATCCCGCATTACATTTTGATTCAAGTACAGTTTAAGGTATGACAACAAAAGTTAGTGTCTTCCCCTCCAAAGGAACATATCCAAGTCAAAAAGTTTGCGATCACAAAATAGTTTAGGTTGGCCTTGTAGAATAACGAAACTCCTTGCACTATCAAATGACTTGTGAAATTAGCTCTAGGTCTACAACTAGTAGGGTTTAACTTTTCTTGGCTCTGTTATTCCCAACAGGTATTTACATTACAGGATGGTTAAGCATCCTACTACCACCCGTTTGTCCTATTCTGTTCAACCACTATCATATGACAGAAAAAAATGTGAAAGGTTAAAGACTTAATTAGGACAGAAAGGAGAAGCATGAGATAAACCTGGAACATGGAAACTGGACCACAACGGAAAATTTTCCGTAGTCTTCCATAAACTGATAGTTCCTCGTAAGTCATTCCCATATCAACTTCATCAAGCTGTTCAACAAAGAATGAAGTATCTGAGTACATATGTTTAAAAGTTGACCATAAACAATTTACTAATGCATATAGATAAAAACAAGTACATCAAAAGATTCAAATACAAGCAAAAACTAATAGAGCACTGCTGAAGTCAAATACCCAAGACTTTCTCTTGCCCTGTTTTGAGGCTTTAACATTTCCTTACGTTAATTTCGCCAATATTTTGAAAAAAAAACTCCACCAATTTTTTTTTAATTAAAAATTACAGATAATAGCAGAAAAACCATTTACTGATTACAAGAGAAATGAACAGAAGATCTTGTGCCTGACCAGAAAAGCAGCCATATCCTCGTTTACATATTACCCCCATTCGCTTTTCTAAGTATTAAAAATAAACCGTCAAAGTTATTCCTTGAGATTGTATGAGTTGGGCATTTTAGTCCTTGAAATATTCAAAACCCTCTATTAGTAAATGACTTTGTAAAAAACAATTCATTTTAGACATCTTCCCCCTTATTTCGTAGTCATTTTCCACCAGAAAGGACAAAATTTGGCAAATTTAGGAACTTGTAAAAGGTTTGTAAAGTTTCAGGGACTAAAATGCCCAGCTCGTACAAACTCAAGAACTAATTTAAGGCTTTACTCAAGTACTCTGCCTTGTAGGTCCAATTCTAGGTTGTACATTATTGTATTTCCAAAATATCAGTTAATTTCTATATTTTCTTCCTTTCTTTTATACAGGCTTAACACAGATTTTCATTTGTGATTAGATCAAGAGTTGGACACTGGAATTTATATTGTTTCTTTTGCATTATGAGGGTCTACAACACAATTATGGTGTACACACAAATTGCTGAAAAACCTATATGTACTGGAGATAATATCAAATCATGAGTGAATTTAAACTTTACCTTATAAATCTGTTTTAAAAGGTTGAGTTTAATTTAAATTATATTTTCTTAAGATGGTATTAGAATTATTTAGAGATTATTCCAGTCAAGTTTGTTGGGTCTTGTGTCACCTACTATCGGGTTTTTCTCCAGTCTCACACTTGAGATGTCTTGAGAGAGTGTGGTGAAGAGTTCAAATCGACTAGAGATAAGATTAAATCATAATAAGTCAAAATATTTGCACAGCCAACTTTCTTAAAGATGAAAAATCTAACAGCCAACTTATATAAAGTCAAAATATTTGCACAGCATCATTATGATCTGAGGTTGCTGCAATTAAATTGTCTTTTGACCTGTCAGGCGTATTGTTGACAATAATGACTCACTCTCGTGCAAAAAAACAAAAAAATCGAATTTTGTATTGTTATAATTACCCTCTGGTCCACTTTAAGCAAAATTGATACGTATGGATACACATATACCAAAAAAGGTATACTACATGTATATGCACTTGCAATTAAGCAACACAGTCAAAATCAAAGTGAGATTCCAGATTAGTCTTAAATGGTGTGACAAAACAGAATACTACCTGACTGTAATCAGAACGTTGAGGCTCTAGTTCGGCTGTGGGTGGAGCTGCTTCAATATCTTTCAAAGATGGGTAACCAAGGTGGATGGCAGCCCATCGCAGGAATGCCCTAAGGTCCTGCTTACTTATACTACCAATAGGATTTATATCTGCTGAGCTGCAATCATACTGTAAAAAGATATAAGTTGTGATCAAAATGGTGAAACGAACCACAGATAATAGAAAGTGGGGAAAAAATTGAGACACGAAGGGTCTATGTTAAGAAAATATTTTATGAATAAAGACAAAATCAACTCAGTCCCCTGTTTTCAAAGATTCAAGTGTTATTATAATTTTTTTGTATAGATCTATGTAATTAGGAAAAAAAGTAAAAAAAATAAAATTAAATTTTGTAATTAGGGTAAAGAAAAATAGAAGAGAGACATTTTCTTCAACCAAACTATCTCTAATAAAGAAAGGTTTAATCCAAAGCTAAATAGACCTTGGTCAAGTAACCACGTAACCCTTCATCCACATTAGAGCTCCCCAAGACAAGGTAAAATCCAGGTTTGCCATGAACCCAAGGCAAGAGTGACGCTAACATGAAAGCTAGCACCATTCTGATTCGAGCCTGAATGTTCTGCAAGCTTAAATTCTCAATATTGGATCCACCATCAACCTGTAGAAACAAAATCATAAAAAAAATGAGACTTCCATAAAATAGAAACAAAAATTATATAAAATGTTTCAATCTTTAATAGAAAAGTGAGATTCCCCACAAAGATGTTACGCAAATACTTTAATACCCTGGCATCCTGATCTGGAGATACATTAGAAATATGAACATGCTTTTCTGGACAAACATAACGTAGAGTGACAACCTCATAGATTACAAGTTCTAGCAGTGGTCGTTTATGATTGAGAGAACTCGTTCATGCTTCATTTACCTTGTACTGTGGTCGTTTTCCTGTAAGTGTCTGGAATAACGACAAAAATGCAGACACAACGACATCAATGCTAACATCAAGATGCCATGAACCTATTTCATCAGCCAGCACCTTAGCTCGGGACTTTGTCATTTCTGAACTGAAACAGAATAAATTTTAGTCATCCATCACATCTGAGTGATATAAGCTGGTTCATGCAATGAAATGATTTCTCAGTACAGGCAAAGTGAAAAACGAAAGCCAGTACTCAAGGGCTTTAGTCTTCCAGTATTTATGTTTTACACTGCACAATAGTGTAACTACTATTGTGATTGCTAGTAGTTCCAAATACCATCTTTCTTTCTCACAAGAGAGCACATGGGATTTAATAAATACTAGCATTAGATCAGGTATACAGGATTACAGAAAGCAACATTCCAAATTTAAAGACAGTGGTTTTAGAAAGGGAAGTTAGGCTGGACAATATAGTTTTTCCTATAATTAATAAGGAAGATAATGCATTATTAATAGTGATAGTCGTAAAAGTCCTGGACCGATGGTTTTAATTTCAATTTTATAAAGCGGTTTTAGGATACTATTAAAGATGATGTTGTAAAATCTGTAAATTGTTTTCATTGTTGTGGGAAGTGGCCGATAGGAAGTAATGCGTTTTTCATTAGCCTAATACCTAAGGTAGACAACCAACAAGGGTTGAGTAATGCACATGATAAAGTTTGGCATTGTATATGGGTCGCAATAATTTGGAGTGTATGGAGCCATAGGAATAACATCATTTTTAGGAATTACATATGACCAAGAACACAATACTCTCAACAACAACGCATCAGTGCAGCTTTCTTGTGTGTGTGTGTGTGTGACTCCTCTTATACAAATGTGGATGGAATATCAATGGAATGTAGCAGATAGAAACTTATGGAGATACAGCTAAATAACAATAAGACCGGGATGGAAATTTATCACTTACCTGTTTTCAGATCCCATAAACACAGTATAGAATATTCTTTTAGCAAATTCTCTGCTGTCTATAGGATACTGGCCATCCTTATAGTTTCCAATTCGTATTGCATCAGCTTTAACTGCTCATCCCCATTTGCAATTTCTGCAGGCAAAATACCCCCATGAGCCACTCATATACAAACTACAAATGTCATTGTCTATTCCACCTTTGCCACATGAAAATGTGAAAATGAAAAATAAACGGGAGGCATTTGTCTTTCTCAAACTTATTATGGTCCACCATATTTGATGGAACTATGAATACTCATCTCTGCTTTTTCAGCTAGTTCAGTTGTCAATCAAATATATATTACCTCTCAATCCGTCCCTTAGATCTTTACACAGTTCATGCTTATCATAAGCTAGATTAGTGATCACACTTTAAGCATTTCTATTTTTAAAGCAGGATCATAAATGGAATAGTGTTAATTCTAAATACTGTCACAAGTATCTGAAATAGAAAGTACACATGAATCTAACCACACTCTTCTCATTGCACTTGACTT